AAAATCACGAAACCAGAACGTTTTCTCGCGTTTTCAACATCTGTAAGCCCTGTCTTCGTCTGAGTGTACGCTTTTTTATGAAAGTAGAGTTCTTTTAGCTGTGGTGGCCAAGAATTTAGGAACTGAGTAAAAAGACGGGGACGATCGATTCAGCGCGAGATGAAAAGAATGAAGTATATGCCAAGACGATGTACCGGAAACCCTGAAAATAATATTGTTTACTATACATGTAGAAACTTAGAGATAAATCCTTCTATTGAAATATCACTCAGCTTTGTAACGGCTCTATGCATGTCACGTTGTACACGAATGCACTTGTTACATGCATTTAGCGCGTCAGTGATGAAAAGTTTGCTCTTTCTCCTCTGGATCTGAAAATCTGAACCAATGCGGTGAAACACCGTGAACTGCCACTTATTCGCCACTGTTGAAAACGCGTTCCCCCCAAACGCCCCACAATGCACTTGACAAACATCTCAACCCAGTCCGCGTAACCCCAAAGTGGCGAATGAGGGCCTTCACTCATTAGTCCTCCACTTCAGTTAGGGACCGATATCACGGCTGTAACAAAAATAAAAAATAAAAAATAAAAAACTCCGAATATAAGCCCCACCGAATATACCACGCTCCCCTCTTGCTTGAACTGAATTGAATTCGATTTATAGCCTTAATTAACGAGCAGTAAATGCAAAAATGTATTTTGATCAGCACCCCTACAGCTTATTTCGAAGCACTTTTTCTATGCCATCTATAGGCCCCCTCGGATATTAAAGCCCCTCCGTTTATACGCCTCCCTAACTCTGAATTGATGTACCGTGGAACCCCGATACAACGATCCTCGATATAACGATATCCCCGGTATAACGATAAATATGCTATGTCCCGGCAAAAGTTACTGTAAAATGTATGGGACAGAACCCCGATATAACGATCTTCGATATAACGATATTCCCGATATAACGATGAGTTTTTAGCGCACCGAGCGTAAAATCTTCCCCGATATAACGATATTACAGGATCCGTCACAGATACAATTTAAACAAAACATTGAATTTAGTAATACAATAACATTACAGTAAACGAGTACAGTAATCTGTAACGTTTCTGTCAACAGCTTTCAGTTTACAATGCCTCTTTATCCTCCTTGTCATTTAATAGTTATTTCAGTTTTAGTATTTTTGACTCCTTCTTGTGACAAAAAGTAAGCGATTAGAGATTTTATTATTACGTTGGATGATTCGGGCGAACGAGAGAGAGAATTCCTTTCCTCTCTTTCAGCGATGGAGGCAGAAACTTGTTCATTGATTAAAGTACTCTTTAAGTTTGGTTTGCCCCATTTGTTTTATTTGCAATCTTGAAAACGCATCGCTAAAAAAGAAAAACAATGAACACGCAAACAGCGAAAAGTAAAGACGATTACAGTAGCAACTTCAAATGTTTAAGTTTTGTTTTGTTTCCTTTTTACGATTCATACCACAGACTTTGTTGTGTAACCTTGATAACGTCTAATGTTTTGCAAATTGTTTAAGGACGTTGCTGCGTGCTTGAAAAGCTACATCTTTTAGTCATTTGAGACTCATTACAAGTTAAAAAAGGTAAAAAAGGTACATGTTCATTTTACCCCGACAATATATAGATTTAGCCAGGGCTAAAAGCGAACCTCCAATTATAATAAATTTATAATTTAAATCAAACAATAAACTTTTAATCCACCAATCATTTAACTGAAGGGCACATTCATGTGACTTTTGAGGGAAAGCCTAAGTTATTTTAGAGTGAAACATGTTACATCGAATTGATAACCTTATATGTACACCCAAAAAATAGCAAACATCTTCGATCACATTCAAGATCACAGTAGATTAGGCCTCGAAAACAAATTCTTGGAAAACAAATCACGTCAAATTTTTTTGCGTTAAACAGGTTTACTTTACAAATTCTTGCCAACAAATCTGGGGGTGTCTAAACCAACGTTTTATAATTTTTATACACCACATTTGAGGTGAAACAGTACTATTTATCGTACAGAGCTCGGACAGAATGCGGTATTTCACAATTTTTCAAGACAAATTAATTGCACTCAGTCAATATTCAGGACGAGCCCTTACCGTTCAAAAATTTCAGAAAATTTCCAAAATCACCCATACGGCCAGCTGGTTCTCGTTTCTATAGTGCGAGCTGTCAGTGTGGTCGAGTGTTTAAATGAACTTTAACAGAGTTACGCTTCAACATAAAAGCGAATTTATTATTATTTGTTTTGTGATTTAATGGTTTCAGTTATAACGATGTGTAATCTTATAAAGCGTTTGATACGCGCGACATTTTTGAGTACTCCTGCAAGCGATGGTCATAAACGATGAAAACAAACGGCACGGACAAGCGATTAAAATTGCAAGAGAGACTACTAACAATCAAAAAAAGAGATATAATTCCGTGAAACATTTACAGAGACAACAATTTTCATTCACGAAGACAAGTATTAAAGTGTCTCTAAAAATCCTGAGTCTTTAAGCGTAAAGCTTAAGTTTATGTTTTAGCCGGCTTCCCAGCGCGATGTTTACTGCTTTCGAAGGTGAACTCCTCGAAGCAAGAAAATCGCTCAAAGTTTTCTTTCTACAGCCAAATTTATAACTAAATATCCTTCGGAACGTTTTCTTTCTATTTGTGGTGAGCAAATATATCTGAAGGCTTTTTAAAGTTCTGTAAGCTTATATCAAACCTGATGCTAGGTCAGATCATTGACTCAAATCCTGCAGACGTGCATAAACTTGCCGCATAAACTGTCAGCGTGAACTGTGCAAGACTTCATGAAACACAAACATCAAATACAATAATTACTTAGGCTAACCTTTCGAGATTCAGTTCCTGAAAGCTATCAAGGGAGGCCACAGTTGCTTGAGACTTTTAAACCCTCTTACGCATTAAGCAAGGTAAAAGACGAAAACGATGCCATCCGAAATCGAATTACCGAATTTTGACAAGCGACGCATTTCTCAGCCAAAACCCAGTAAACAAACCAGCCATGAATAACAGAAGACTCTTGATAGCAGCTGTATTTCATTTGTACCTCCAGAGGAAAAAGACAGTTAAAAACATCACAAGTTGACATAAAACTCTGTCAGCTTCAGCTTTCAAAGTAAACTACTTTCAAGATGCTACATAATTTTTCCGCATAAACTCACCTGTCAAATTTTGACCAATCAGAGTATAAAAATTGGACGTAAAGCGTGACCAACGCGTGACCATGGTAAGATAAGGTCTTCCCCGCCTGTACTTTAAAAAAAAAACTGGATGAATTTTCGCTTCCGAGGTCAGTTTGAAATAGAAATCCTAATAGTGCGGGGCCATAGTGACATAAACACAACATATTTGATATGAATCCTTGAAAAAAATAAACTTGAGCCTGCGATCATTTGAAACTGGTAATTTGTCAGCGGATAACTTTAAAAAATACTCGACCTCGATGGGTCGACACTTGAGTCCGCGGTACGGTCAGGTGATACTTGTCAGCGGATGTCCTGATTTGATAGCTGTCAATTGATCACAACATTGATGTGCAGCCTGTGCAATTAGTTTTCTCTTGGGCTCCCAAACTAGCTAAAAGTGTGAGAGTAAACATTGGTTTTCCTGTGGTGCGGACGGACGGCGGGCGGTCGGTGTACGGTCACGTGATTACCAAATTTTCTGGGATGGGTAGATTTATTTAGCTATGGGGCTCCGCCCACGCGCGCGCTTCGCGCGCGCGTGAAGCTCCGCTATAACGATATTTTCCGTTATTTTATGGCAATATCGTTATATCGGGAGTCTCGATATAACGATACCTCGATAAAACGATCTAATTCCACTGCTCCCTTGGCATATCGGGGTTCCACTGTATAAGAAGGTGTATCATGATCTCACGGCTTACAAGCGACAGCTAAGAATGAGCTAGGTTAAACAGGACTGGAAATAACTCGAATCTGTGGATTCATGACCGTGAAAAAATTGTGCCAGGCTTTTGCTCGTTCTTGTTTTATTTTATTTTACTTTTTTTTTTCTGTTTTTGTTTTTTTTTTTTTGTGCAAACAATCATCTTAATAACGTCACAGCGGTAGAGGAAGGAGATACTTTTTTTCTGTCACGGCCTCTGACACATATCTAGTACTAACAGAAGTTTAATTTCAATTTCAGTGGCTGTAACATTGCCAAATGAGAAAGTGATACGTCTTAAGCGTGCAAAGATATAGCTCTGTAAAGTTGTCTAGATTGACAGACGTTTGTATGTGGAGGGTGGGGAGGGGGAAGTTTGTGGCCGGCCCCCACAATACAAACGTCTGTAAAATTTTGCGACATTGAGGAGCCATATCTTCGTTAGTTTTCAACAAATCTGACTTAGACTTTGCAATTTTTCTAATTTTAAGGCGTTCTTTCCATTGGTTTCTTGAGGTTGTCCATGTCAAAAGAAGTATCCTTTTGGGCAGCGCCTCCTCGCCCGTATAGGTCCCCCCCTCCCCCCTCCCCCTCCCCCTCAGCCATCAAGGTATAAGATATGGGAGTTTAAAAATAAAACGCTAACACTAGACACGTTAAGGCTTGTTTAGCTTGAGCTTAATGGAGCCGCTACTTTTTCTGACATAACATAGCCAACTCGGATTGAAAGCAAAGTTATATTTTTGGCTTTTTGGCGCACTAAAAAGGAAAGGGATCGGGTCACTGCCGTTAGAAACGATAGCGTGCATAAAACTTGATTTTAAAAGTTGCTTTTGTAAAATTTATATTCCGTAATTAATTTTTGGCATGTTCATCTTTTGACCCTGTTCAGTACCCTGAAGCGGGCTTAAAAACATAGAATAAGAAGATGCAAAAAAAAAAAAATGCCATAAAAGGAAAAGAAACAAGCAAAAACAAACAAACAACATACCGGAACAGCTGAGGATTTAATTAAAATATTTTCTATAAAATGATGAGCATTTAACACTGACTTCAGAAAACGCTGTTGTTCTCGTTCAAGGCTCACCGCCATGGTTCAGTATTTCACTGTTTTCCTGATTCTCTCCTTTTTCGGCGGCTCACTGGGAACAATCACCTCACCTCAGCAACAAAACGCCTTAAAGTTAAAAGACTTATGCCAGCCGTAAGAAATGCATAAAGATATAAAAAGGCCTAGGAGTACTGCACCGTAGATTAGGTACACCCAGAAACCATTTTATTGCTCTCACGTCGTTATGAACATTTACTAAAAAGTACCCGTTAAAAGTGTATGGCAGTTTATTCAAAAGCCCCTTGCTTCAGCATGATCTTTCCTCGAAAACCTGAAGCCTGTCCATTGTTAACTGTTAATTTTCTCTGATTACATCTAAGTCTATTCGAGGCGAGAGAACGCTTTTAATAGGATTATTAAAAGAGGTGAATTTGGTGCCTCGAAAACAAAGGGAGACGGCCGGCGGGTACAGACTTTGTTCATTTTGGTGTGGAATCATTGTTTGCGAGGGAGCTATGGGCGTGTATGAACGGAATTATCCGTTCATTTCCAAAAGAGAATTAATCTAAGGGAAAATGACATGCATAATTTCTTAGAGACAAGTTCCTAAAACTGGTATGGATTTTAGCGCCAAATCTGAAAACGGGTGTACAAAATAACTTTTTTCGTATGAAATAGAGTCAGGATTTGGGGAACCAGGCGGCGCATCCCCACCAAGAGTTCCCAGGAGTACCCCCCAAATCGAGTTATCTAAGATCCCGTGTCGTCTTCGTCTCTGCTAATAAGTCATCTTTACTTTCAGCGATCTATGCTGGATTTCCCTGGTATTCCAGGATCAAATGGTGTACCGGGAGTGCCGGGCGTCCCGGGGCCACACGGACCCCAGGGAAGGGAAGGTGTAAAAGGACAAATTGGTGATAAAGGATCACAAGGAATGCCGGGTCCAAGAGGAGACAGAGGGCGCGAAGGACCCCCTGGGAGGAGTGGACCCCGAGGAATTAAGGGAATGAAAGGTCAACGGGGACTTCTGGGAATGAAAGGAGAGCAAGGCATTGCGGGAATGAAAGGAAAACAAGGAGCAGTGGGATTGAAAGGAGAGCGAGGCATTGCGGGAATGAAAGGAAGAAAAGGAGACAAAGGAAAGAAAGGAGAAAGCTTCAAAGCAAGTCAAGCAAGTGTAGTACCACAAACCAACTGGAAACAATGTGTGTGAAAACCAAGAAGCGGTACTAATGTCGGAAAGATTAAGGTACATAGAATAAGAATCATAACACACTCCTGAGAAAATTCATTCCTTTTTGAATTAAAATATTTCAAAGAAGAACGTCTCCCCTTTCACTCACCGTTTCCCAATGCATTACATAAATAACTAATTAGTTACATTTCCCTATAATTGTTCTTTTTAAACGAAAAAAAAAAAAAAAAACATCGTGGGTGATAACCTGATTTCTGGCCGTATGGATAAGGACAACAAAAATTGAAGCTATTTCAGGGTTTTTAAACATTATAAAGTAATCTTGACTGCAGCTGTTAGTATCAATCATTACACACAGTTGCTCGCCCTATTACATATATGTTTGATTTGTTTGATTTTATTCCAGGACTGTGCCTTTAACAAACTGCAGTCTGATTCAGCGCTCAGAGTCTCATTCCAGGGAAATATGAGGGTCTATGGTGATTTTAAGTGTAACCGATGGTATTTCAAGTTCAATGGAAATGAATGCAGTGGACCAACGACGATTGACGCTGCTGTTTACAACTGGTCATCTGGGACCCCAGATCTGATGCATCATCGGTCATTTGAGGGTTACTGTGAAAACATCCCACAAGGCGCTGTTAGAGTGGAATTATGGGTAGGAAAATGTAGTGGCTTGACCTTGGGTAGTGCTTACACTGGGGAGAATTCAATGTCCCGGATAATGATCGAAGAAGTATCTAGGCCACAGTCCTAATAAGGGGAGTCTTGAACTTTGGCGCTGTTTTGATTTCGTTAGAATAGCATTCTACAAATATAGACTGTAAAGAGCAAAGTGCCAAAGTATTGTTTTTGGTTATTTTCTTTTAGCCCTTTGTGAACTACTTCCGTCTTATATCAGATTGTCAATAGTAAACTATAATAACAGTATCAAGATTTTGTAGTATTATGTCGGCATGTTAGTTCTGCGCAGCAGCTCTTTGTTTTGTTACGCAGTGTTTCTCTAGCTCTTTTGCGGGGAGGCACCTTTCGTGACGACACAATAACCGCCTGAGCCCGTAGGGAATTGGTCTTCCATGCAGCCGTTTGTCTTGCCACGCACCGCTACTTCTCGTTGCTTGACGAGACAAAGTGGCTGTGATTAAGAGTGAATGATTGGTGATACTTTTTGTATGTGATATGTTATGGATGCAAAATATATCACTACAGCTTCAGGGGAACCCATTCTTTCTCGGGTTACCACCATGTATACCATCAGATTGTCGGTCGTTTCATAAGTCTATAATATGTAGTCAAAGTAAAGGTCGTGATATAATTTTTTATCTCAACGAAAAAAAACCCGCGG